TTCAGACACCTACAGACCCATTATAGCATACAGAATATCAAACTCTGTTCTCAAACTAAGCCCACATATTATTTGCAACATATACTGTGGATAATTCATTGTTTCCAACATCACTGCAATGGTGTTCTCACAGCACACGTGTGCACGTGCACACACACACACACACACACACACATTGTTCTGGGAAGGGGAAGTGAATTGCAATTAGGGAAAAAAGGAAACATTTTAAGATTAGAGCTTATTGTTTAGTTAGTATGTAAAACCTAGTTACAAGAAAAGACCAAGGGCTAGTGAGATTGATTACACTGTTTTCTTAAATGTTACCTAAATGTTATAACTTTACTAGATAGTAGAAAGGTGAATTTAATAGACTGTGTCATTGATCCCAACAAATAAGGTTAACTTTGGTGACAAGTTCAGTAGGAGACGACAGATTCCAGAACAGTCATTAACAAAAGCTAAGTCAATTCCCTGACATTTTCATTACCTGCGAAAATGGCTCTATTATCCATAGAAAAATATATTTCAGTACTTTTTTATGATCAAAGAATAACATACATTATTTTTAGTTGTTGAAGATACAAGAAGCAAGACTGCATTGAATTATCTTCATCTAACCATTGAAAAAAGCAATGAGTGAAAAATAAAACACTGAAGATTCTCACCGTTAGTAGTCATTAGGTCACTCTAAATCATTCCCTCTTTTCTCATAACAGATGTCTTCTACTGTCCCATCCATAAACTTTAAATTGTTTGCAGTAAAGTAGATTCCTTACATTATGCCCTTTTCAGATGCCTTTTATTGTTCAACACCCCCCTGACACAATTTCCCCATCTTCCTTCCCCCTCCTTGCTGTAGTTTTCCTGCCTTCATTATACCTTCACTCTCCTGTTACCTGTCTCCTTTAGTATGTCTTCCTGATTTGCCCCTTCTAGTCTCCTGACTTCTACCACTACTGCAAGTTAACCAATCAAAATAAAATATTCAAGTTCCTATGCATATTTGAAAGAAAACATGTAGCATTGATCTTTCTGGGTCTGTTTTCCTCACTCAGTGTAAATTTCCAGTTCTATTAAGATACCAGAAAATTTCATGATTTAGATTTTTTTAAGAGATTAGTAATATTACATTGTATAATGCTACATGTTTTCATTATTCATTCATCAGTTGATGGCTATTTAAGCAGTCTGTATTTCCTAGATATTGCAAGTAGAATAGCAATGAAATAGATGAGCAAATATCCCTGCAGGAAAATGTAATATTCTGTAGGTGCATGGCCGGAGAAGAAGAGCTGAATCATATGGGTACTAATTCTTTGCGTGTGTGTATGTGTGTGTGTGTTTGTGTGTGTGTGTGTTTGTGTGTGTGTGTGTGTGTGCGTTTAAGAACCCATGGGTTCTAATTTACATTATATTCTCATGAGGATAGCACAAAAGTTCCCCCTTTTTTTTCACTTCCAGGATACAGCCAATGTCATTTTATCCCATACTTTATAGCTGTACTCATAGATCTGGGCTCCTGTCAACAATGGTCAGAGAAGATTCTTCTTGAAGTGGACCTTGGTTAAGAGCGAGGCTCATAATTTTAAAAAAATTGAGAACAATTTCCTGTGAGTGCTAAGTTTTAATGGGATATCTGTATCAATAGCTCCCCCCACACCAGGACTCAGGGAAAACTCTGGAAAAAGGGCTTGAAAGAATGTCACATTTGGTGGATATGGAGAAGGAATAATAAATGCTGTTTGCAGGACATGAAATGGCTATGCCACACATGAACTCACAGCAGCTTAGGTTACCTTCCTGTCGGGGAGGTGTTCATATGGCTGTACTTTCAGCTGAGGAATTATTAATAATTTATTCTGGATCTAGGAGAGTCATTTATATTTGCAGTTGTAGTCATTGTTAGTCATCCATTTTCCACTGGATGACCCCACATAAATGGTCATATAGCCAACAGTTATTGGACATATTAGGATACATAGAAAAATAATAAGATTACATTAAGTTGGGCATAGGATATGTTAGAGGGATTGGAAAACTTGGAGAAAGAAATAAGGGACAGTGTGATCATATGCCTACAGTTGCATGAAGGAGCGTGGGTGATGTGGATTGTTTTGAAAAACAAATTAATTGGTAACTCAGGCAGTTAGGTAGCAATTTAGGTATGACAAAAGAGAATAGCTATCCCCAGTGGAACTAAGCCAACATTTTCTTTAAAAATGGCATAGGGAGCAAACTGAGTTCTTATTTAAATCTGATATAACCACTTATTTTTTTTTAATTTAAATCACTGAAACCAGTGAGAAGCAACTTCAGCAAACTGAAAAGGTAAACTTATCTCAGGACTACTTATTTGTGGATCATGATTCAATAGAAATTACATAATATTTGAAATCATGAATTTCAATATATTGAACTTAAGGTGATCTACTAAAAAAATTTTCTATATTAAAATGAAAAATATTGTTTAAAGATTTGAAATAGCTAATTCCTAACATATGAGCCCATTATTATGAGAAAAATCAAAAAATTCAATTAAGAATCTTATATTGAATATAATCCAAATACATTTTGTTATGTTCTTATGGAAGGAAGCAATGTAATTATAAGTAATGTTATAACTATAAATAACACACTTATATTAAAGGCATTCCTTGTGGTAGAGACAGTGTTCAGCAATCATTCTTCCAAATGACATTTTCAATATATAATAAATTAATACCAATTTAATTCTGATGACTCATACCATAATGTTTTTTCTGTGAACCCTCCAACCAAGTAGTGACAAAATGTTTACACAGTATGTGACTATTTGCGCTTGACTTGTCATTTGTGGTTTTGATTTTTCTATGAGGATATTTAATTTGTATGCCAAAGTAAGCAAAACAAGAAAATGTTATTCTAGTACAAAGAAAATAAATTGCCAAATTGCTGTTATTTGTGGAATATCCACTGTAGTCTAATATTTAAAAGTTAATGCTCTCTTCCACACTGAAAATTGAGTTCTCTGAGTGTATAGTATCATTGTATCTTTAATTGCATTCTCTTCAAATGCAGTAACTAATTTCAATGATGAATTATACTATTAACTTGATATCACATATGGGATAGGTAAGAGAGTAGAGACATCTGTATTCTTCAAAAAATGAATCATGTTACATAATATCAAGTGCAGAAATACTGTGAATGTTAGAAACATACTTTGACGTTTTATGTACCAGACTACATTGGGCTAGACAGATTGAAAGGAGTTTTAAGGAACCTGAGTACACAGTTTTTAATTGAGTTAGGATCTTGACTTTCTCTGAAGATTTAATACTCAAAACGTTATGTGGGCATGTGGTTTCTGGTATGTGGGTGTGCCTAACTGCTGTTTTCCTATAGTAACAGATATTTGGTAATATATCCAGTTTTGGTTGTCTTAGATTAGATAAAAAGCATATACCAATTCCTATCCATTCACCTCTTTTCCAATTTTGTATTGCTTTCATTCCAAGGATCTGTGTAATTGCTATACATTCCAAGTAGAAACAACCCCTCAATACAATAAATAGAAAACCAAATGAAGATAATTTTAAAGAAACAAAGTGGAAATAGGATATGAAGAATGAAATACCCAGGTGGGCAAAGAAAGAAAATGTTCAGAAGTTAGTATGATGGTTTAAATCAATAATCTGTTTAAGTAAGAACTTGTTCTATTTTCATGTTTATAAGAAAGTCACTATAATACAAAGTATAGGAGGATCACGGTACATTGCACATTATCTTCTTAAGTGGTATCTTAGATAGAGAATATGGTTTCTTTTCAAAGAACCACTAATATATGTAAGAAGATTGTCTACATTAAAAATAACAGTGCTTGATTTCTTGCTCTTGTCACCTTGATACCTATTATTTCAGTCAACAGAAATCTATCTCAGTTTCTTTCAGTCACCTTGCAGTATTCCACAATACAGGTGTGCTATCACTTATATAACCTTTCTTTCTGTAACACAAGGAGAGTTCTTTTTTCATGGACCCCAGGGCCTGGGGCTAATTTAGCAAATGTTCTACCATTCCAGGACCTTTCTTTTTCAATACCAATTGCCATATTATTTGTATTATTTATAGTAAGCATATTTTGCTCATGAACATGAGAAAAAAGAACTTATTTAAAAACTAACAGTGAGGGGGCTGGGGTTGTCAAGAGCCTTGTCTGCTCTGGCTGAGGAGCTGGATTCGATTTCCAAAACCCACATGGTGACTAACAACCTTCTGCTAATCCAGTTCCAGGGGATCAGATGCCCTCTTCTGACCTATGCAGGCATTTCAGGACACAGGTGCACCTCCTAGCATGCAGGAAATACAATCATACATAAAATAAAAATAATAAATAAAAATAGCAATGAAGTTTATACAGATAATCGTGTCAAACTAAGACCTGAAGAAAGCAAAAAGGTACAGAAGTAAAATTTGAAGTTTAACCTTAAATGACTGTGTGAAATTTTTCATTTATTTATGATATGTTTTACTAAATGAAATATTTATGTTTTATGAGACATGATTTCACCAAAACATAACAGACTGTCTTGAAATATCAGCAGTAATTCCCCTTCGGCTTCCTAAATTCTGGTTTTATAGACATTCACCCAACCAATGGCTTTATGTGAACTCACTGAACCTTGTTTCCTCTTCAGCAGAGGTCAGGGAGGCTAGCAAAGATATATTGCAGTGGAACTTCAAATCTAACCACATTACATCTTGCTCCTATGAATTTGAATAAAAATGTACGGCCCTTTGGATTTTATTGATACAGTTTGATACAATTGGGAAGCATACCTAAGATGCTGAACTCATTTGGGAGACTGTATTGACAAAACTAGTTTCATTTTTATTCAGATAAACCCATTGCTCCTGATTTCAAAGCAAATCTCCAAGAATAACCAATGGCAACACTCAGATAGAAGTTTAGAAGTTATCAAGTCCAAAACTCATATAGCAATACAATTTGAAAAGAGGACATGCAGTCAAGAAACGTGACTCTGCCAAAAGAAAACAAATGGAAAATCACAGAAATAAACCTGACTGTGCCTGTGGAATTTGTCCTCTTGGGATTTTCTGATGTTCCCAAATTGCACTGGTTTCTCTTTGGAATCTTCCTCTTCATCTATGTGATTATCCTCCTGGGGAATGGAATCATTATTCTCATCACAAGGATAGAGCCCACTCTGCAGACTCCCATATATTTTTTCATCAGGAATTTTTCTTTCCTAGAAATCTGCTATGTGTCTGTCACTCTGCCCAGAATGCTTATGGATCTTTGTACTTTGAAAGGAAATATTTCTTTTTATTCTTGTGCTACACAAATGTGCTTCTTCCTTATTCTAGGGACAACAGAGTGCTACCTCCTGGCTGTGATGGCCTATGACCGCTATGTGGCCATATGCAACCCTCTGCACTACTCTCTAGTCATGAGCCATAAGGTGTGTAACCAGCTGGTGGTCGGCTCCTGGGTCATTGCAATTCTCATTCAGCTAGGGCAGACATATCAGATTATGTCTCTGCCTTTCTGTAAATCTAATGAACTTAACCACTTCTTCTGTGACATACCCCCTTTGCTCAAAGTGGCTTGTGGGGACATCTTTGTGAATGAGATGGTGGTCTATATATCTACTGTTTTTGTTGTCACTATGCCCTTCATGCTGATCCTTGTGTCCTATAGCAGAATCATTACAACCATACTGAAGTTGCCATCAAACAAAGGAAGATCCAAAGCCTTTTCTACCTGCTCTTCCCACATTATAGTTGTAGTTTTATTCTATGGATCAGCCAGTATCACATATCTAAAACCTAAATCTAATGAGTATGAAGAAACAGACAAACTCCTCTCTCTTTTCTATACCATTTTGACCCCAATGTTCAATCCCCTGATATACAGCCTGAGGAACAAAGATGTTACAGGGGCATTGAGAAAATTCTTTTCCAGACTGTTTGCATTGCGAGACAATTAAAATCACACAAATTGTGCTTATATTCCATGTGCATTTATTTAAAACAACTTAATCTTGTATATCTATAAATAAATTGATGAAATCTCTTTAAATTCAACCTATTTCTCTACATAAAACAATATGCAAATCCATTAGCAGAGTTCTGCTTTTAAAAACTAGTGTTCTTCTTCAATGTGAACTTTGTAACAAACAAAAATGATCATGTCAATGCTGTGGATTGATGTCACCAATAAATCCTCATTTTTTTGTACTCATGACATTATTCTTTCTCCAAAGCTTCCATCTTTTGGTATCTTGATAGGTAATTCTAAAGCTCTTCTTCTGTGGAATTAAAAAACTGGCATAGTCTATTCTGTTACCTGAATCTTGTTTTTGATGAATAGGTAACTGCAGTAAGGTTTCCTTCAAATCCAAATGTTTCTCTTGTGATTTTTTCTCTATTATTAAATGAGATTAAGGTCTCCTACCTGTACTCTGATGAATGTCCATTCTCATGAGTCAACTATTTGTACCTGAAAGCATAAATATGCTTATTATCATTTTCTATTTTATATACATATCCTACAACTTATAGTGTTATAAAAGAAACTCTTTAAACTTTAAAAATAATTTATTCATTATCTTTATTTTATGTGTATGAGTGTATTGGCTGCATGTAGTTAAGTGCACCCGTGTCATGCTATGCTGTGGAAGTCAGAAGAGGCTATCAGATGCCCTGGGACTGGAGTTACAGACAGTTGTTAGCTGCCATATGCGTTCTGGGAACTGAACCCAGGTCTTCTGCAAGAACAACCAGTGTTCTTAACTGTTGAGCCATCACTCCATCCCCAAAAGAAACTCTTAATAATATTTTTATACCCTAGGATTATGAAAAACAAGGTATATATTTAAAGGTAACATATTTTGTCTGTTGATTTTAATTATATAACAAAATTTTAAAATAATATTAAACTTAATCTAAAAGATTTTACATTTCATTGGTATTTGAGAATGAAAAAAGTGATAATGTGTATCAATTTTAATTGTTATTCATGTACCTTCCTAAGTATATATTAGATCTACCTCTTGGGGTAAGTCTACAGCGCAGCTCTCCGCGCTGAGACTCCCTAAGCCACATTCACCCTTCCATCCCCCCCGCCTCGCCTTTCTATACTCCTAGTTTGAG